TTTTTTTTTTTTTTTGAGACAGAGTCTCACTTTGTCACCCTGGGTAGAGTGCCATGGAGTCACAGCTCATAGCAACTTCAAACTCTTGGGCTCAAGTGATTTCTCTTGCCTCAGCCTCCCAAGTAGCTGGGCCTACAGGTGCTCCCCTACAAAGTAGCTAGCATGGTTATTTTTTAGAGATGGGGTTTCACTCTTGCTCAGGCTGGTCTCAAACTCCTAAGCTCAAGTAATCCACCCACCTCAGCCTCCTAGAGTGCTGGGATCACAGGCGGGAGCCACTGCGCCCTGCCCTTTCCCATTATTATTGTTATCTGTTATGGTTATCTGAGGTCACTGAGCTTTAATGTTACTATTGTCATTGTTTCGGGGTGCCATGAACCATGTCCATAGAAGATGGCTAAGGTTATTTATTTATTTATCTATCTATTTATTCATTTACTTATTCAGAGACAGAGATTCACTCTGTTGCCCTGGATAGAGTGCTCTGGCATCATAGCTCACAGCAACCTCAAACTCTTGGGCTCAAGAGCCTCTTGCCTCAGATTCCCAAGTAGCTGGGACTACAGGTGCCTGCTACAACACCCAGCTAGTTTTTCTATTTTTAGTAGAGATGGGGTCTTACTCTTGCTCAGGCTGGTCTCCAACTCTTGAGCTCGAGCTATCTACCTGCCTCAGCCTCCCAGAGTGCTGGGATTGCAAGTGTGAGCCACCACACCTGCTTAAACTAAGAAGGCTGATTTAATAGGTAACTGGGGGGTGTTCTGACTGTTCCATCCACTGGCCATTCCCTGTATCCCTCTCTAAGCTCTTCCTATTTCCTGAGACATAACAATATTGAAATTAAGCCAGTTAATAATAACCCTGCAAATGGCCTCTAAATGTTCCAGTGAAAGGAGGAGGCATACTTCTCTCACTTTAAATTGAAAGGTAGAAATGATTTTTAAACTTAGTGAGGAAAGCATGTTGAAAGCTGACATAGGCTAAAAGCCAGGCCTCTTGGACCAAACAGCCACCTTGGGAATAAAAGGGAAAAATTCTAGTATATGTGCTGCCGAAGTAAGCACAAAAGGGAAAAATTCTTTAAGGAAATTAAAAGTACTATTCCAGTGAATATAAAAATGATATAAAAAAAAGAAAAAGCAAAACTGTCTCATTGCTGATATGGAGAAAGTTGTAGTGGTCTGGACGAAAGATCAAAATAGCCACAGCATTTCCTTAAGGCAGAGCCTAATCCAGAGCGAGGTCCTAACTTTCTTCAATTCTATGAAGGCTGAGCGAGGGGAGTAAGCCACAGAAGAAAAGTCTGAAGCTATCCGAGGTTGATTCATGAAGTTCAAGGAAAGAACTTATCTCCGTAACGTAAAAATGCAAAGTGAAGCCTTAAGATGTGTATACTAAGGCGGGGAAGAGTGCTGAGGATGGTGAGGCAGGTAGTCTAGTGAAGTGTAAGGACCCAAAGGCGGGTGTGCGTGTGCGTGTGTGTGTGTGTCCCCTGGGGTTGTTCAAGCAGGACAGGGTGTTGGGGGTGTGTATGGAAGGACCCTGAGAGTCCCACCCCCCCCCCATGTTTCTGTAGAAAGGTGTTTTATTCCGTGTGATTTGGGAGGTGATGTATTTACATTGCTCAGCACAGACTGGTTTTGTACTTCGTTCCTTGTTGTGGCTGCTTTCTGACAATATTGTGGAAGAGGAGAGAAGCAAGACAAAATAAAATACGCATCCCCTCCCCAGTGGGCTTCAGATGACAGGCATCAAATGCCCCCTTCCCCCAACAAAGCCGCCAGTTCAGCCCTGCTTCCTCTGACTTGCTTCTCACAGTGACACAGATAGTGGTCACAGTTTCCCCTCTGCAGCTTCCCTGTGTATTCCCAGGAAAGCCCCGAACGACACACCCAAGTGCCAGACCCCACACACTGACGTAGCTCATTAGGGACTTGGCATCGCCTGAAATATAAAATGTCTAATGAGACATTCCAGAGCAGCTGAAAGGGATTGATTCCCACTAAGATCCAAGAGCTGTTGAGAGGGGAGGAGTCTCCCTAGGGCTTTCTAAATAGCTTCTGGGGCATTAAGAACAAAAGCCCCCCAGACTCCAGCTGGCAACTGCTGTGGCTAACTATATTTTTATCAGCAAAACCCAAGGCAAAGAAGCATGAGAGAGACTGTGGAAAAAGTATTTTTTGTGTTTTCCTCTGTCAGTCACAAACCAAGACTTGAAATGGCTCCAGCTTAGACTTAATGGGAGAGAGAGAGAGATTGATTATGAAGCATAAACTTCCAAATACATGGTCCATACTAAAAGTACTGTAACCGCATATAACAAGTGGCAGGAGGCCTGGTGCAGTGGCTTATGCCTGTTATCTAGCATGCCAGAAGGCCAAGGTGGGAGGATCCCTTGAGGTCAAGGAGTTCTGGGACCGCTAGAGCAAGAGTGAGACCTCTTATAAAAACAGAAAAATTAGCTGGGCATTGTTACAGGCACCTATAGTCTCAGCTAGAGGGAGGCTGAAGCAGGAGGGTCACTTGAACGTAGGGGTTCAAGATTGCTGTGAGCGAGGTTGATGCCATGGCACTCTAGTCTGGGACAACAGAGCGAGATTCTGTCTCAAACCTCCCCCCAAATCAGTGCCCCCCAAACCCAAAGAAACCCCAAGTGGCAGGAAAGAAAAGTAATACCCGCACGAGCTCTGATTGTGACCTAGGCAGTATGAGAGTCACTTTACATATATCTTATTAAATTCTCACATTGATAAAGTAGGAGTAGTTTTATTCCCCTTTTCGTAACCTGAGGCTCTGTGAGCTCAACTAACTTCATGATCACACAGCTAATAAGCGGAAGACAGGATGGAAAGCCTGTTGTATCTGATTTTAGAGACCATATTCTTCCTATTAAACCTTGCTGTTATCGTAAAGGACCAAGTTGGAATAAGTTTTCAATAACCAAAAAGTACTAGGAAATATCTATTGGTTTGCACCTGCTACATGTCAAACACTGTGCAAGGTGCTGTATTTCTGGGTGCTCCAGTGGGCTTGATCCCTAATATTGTTGGACTATCACATGATTCCTGATAATTTTGAGTATTCATGCAAAGTCTTTAGTTGCATTAGTTATTACTAGGCTTGATTTAATAGTAAGGTGTATCAGAATCTTAGCTCTTTCATTCTTTTCTCTACCCTAATTGTGTTAGGGTCCCTAATTATCTTGGCTTTCATAATCTCTCTTTTTCCTTTTCTTTTAACTCTAATCTCTAGAAGGGAAAAAACCTCTCTAGAAAGTAATTTTTGAGAAATTGTTTGTTGTTTGGTTTTTGTTTTTGTGATAGACACAAATGATTATATATTCCATTGTAACTAACTGAGAAGTCCAGAGAGAGATGAAGACAAACAGAAGGCAGAAACAGGAACAGGGTCAACGTAATTTTTTGAACCAAAGATTAATTTTGTATATAAATTACAGAATCAAGTATAGACTGCCTGTATACATAGTAAGTAGTATTTGGAATTGATAAAACCTAAATGTGGATATTAACCATCAAAGGACCTAACCCTCTAGATTGGGCTATCTTTTTTTTTGTACATCTTTTTTTGTTTGAGACAGAGTCTTACTATGTCGCCCTCAATAGAGTGCCGTAGTGTCACAGCTCACAGCAACCTCAAACTCTTGGGCTCAAGCAATTCTCTTGCCTCAGCCTCCCAAGTAGCTGGGACAACAGGTGCCCGCCACAACCCCCAGCTATTTTTTTGTTATTGTTGTCATTGTTGTTTAGGAGGCCCGGGCCAGCTTTGAACCCGCCAGCCCTGGTGCATGTGGCTGGTGCCCTAACCACTGAGCTATGGGTGCAGAGCCCATAGTACATCTTATTTGGGAAATTCTACTAATCAATCATACAGTGGTTTGTCTACTTCTGACTGTTTTAACCCAACAGCAAACATTACCTTGTAATTCTACCACACACATGGGGCATCCATTTACTCTCAAGGATGCTTAAGCTTTTAAATTAAAGCTATGTAGCTGTGTAATGATTAAAGTCTATTTCTTCAAAAACATCCATCCTTTTACTGATAGAACTTGAGAGGCAGAAACATTTTCACCATCTTTGACTTAAGTTCAAATCCCTTAGATATAAATATATTATTAATATAAAACTTACCTTTAGGTGTTTCCCAGCATACAAAAGAATCAATTAAAGATAAGCCTTGCTTATAATAAAACGTAGTTAATTCAAGCCAATCAGCATCAAGTGTGCAAATCACAGAGCCTTTTCTTGTTATTTTCATTGCCAGGATGCCTTCCTGATAGGTCCAACAGGTTGAATCATCATCAAAAGCATTGAAGACTATGTACAATTTGTTATCTAAGGATAGGCATTCAGAAGGAGAAAAAAAGCAGAAAATTATAATCTTACGTATCAAAGATTCTTAAAATCTTTTTTTATTAATCAATACATTTCAGATTACAAGTGAGTATAGAGAATAATAAAAGCACCCACCGTTTAGCTTACTCAAATGTCAACATTATGCCATACGTGCTTCAGACTACTGCTTTGAAGAAATGAGAAATGGATACAGTTGAGGCTACTAGGAGTATTCCCTAATTCCATTCTCCATAAATAACTACTACCATTACTTTGGTGTTTCTCATCTCATGCAAGTTTTTTTTTTTTTTTTTTTTGAGACAGAGCCTCAAGCTGTC